CCCCATATTTCCCATGGGATTATTAAAGTGTCATTTTATCTGACCTTACTGGTGCACAGGTGTTACAAAAATGGGAAAAAGTGGGGCGTGGAGGGAGTCCCCCCCTCACATGCCCCACTTCTGTTGTGGTGGTCATGGCATGCTGTCTAGTGCTTGAATTATGTCTGAAGTGCCACAAAAGTCTTTCACAACTATTTGTGTGTGCAGAAGTTGTGGAGAATGTGGCATGCCTGGGACTTTCTCAGGGTCTAGTTGGCCAGGCCAGATGGTCTGGCTGAAGCTGCCTCCCCTCCCCCTTCAACAGGAGATCAAACACCGTAGCTAATGTGATGTGTAACAAGACACACTTCTTTTGTTCCTGTCTCGGGGCCAGTGAATAGGCACAGAGTGTGGGAAACGGGAGATATCACACTCACAGAGAGATGGCTGATGGGAAGCCTCTCTGCGCCGCCGCAGGTCTGAGCATTGGTCGAGACTTTATGGCAGGAATTCAGAGCTCTCAGGCTGTTGGTGGGAGGGGAACTCGTCTTCACACACACTTGTAGACAAAGACCCCCAGCAGCCGTGTAGTGCACACTAACTCTGAGAAGAGGCAAAAATTCACACAAACATGTATACAAAGAAATCAATCGAGAGGAGAGGAAAATAACACCAAACATTGACGTGTCATGAGAGATTGGCCATTTTTATGCTTTTAATTTCTGCTGCAAATATGGCAAGATAGCTACAGACATGCTGGAAGAAATATATATAATATGTTAATTAAATACACCTGACACAACCTCGATCCTGTTTTGATAATGGGCTTTATAAATAAACATTGATTGATTGATTGATTGATTGATTGATTGATTGATTGATTGATTGATTGATTGATTGATTGACCTGAGCATGCACATGAAGAAGAAGAACAAGCCCCAATGTGACCCCCAACCTGCTCAGAAGGGCACATGAAGTGAAGATGTACAGTATGTTCATCAACTAAAGTGCTGTTGTATGATTACAAGATTCTTGTTCCTCATTCAAATATTTGCAATTGTATTATTTATTTGTTATTCAAATTTGGGTTAGTTTGTTTTCCCTCAAGCACACTGTTTCAAACCTTCTTTTTCAGAACAGAGTAGTCTTTCTGTTGTGGCATTTCTACTTTGACTTAATACAACTCTGAGTACTTGTTTCAGCATTACAAACGGGCTTAAATTAAAATAATCAACACAGATTACAGGCAGACAGACTGTTCTGTGCCAGGCAGTGAAGACAGTTGACTTGATTTTTCCCAGATGGACCGAGACACAGAGTTTCTGTTTGTCCTGCAACAAAAGATCAATTAACATTCCCAGTGGAGCATTGAGGAGCGGCGCTGCTTTTGTAGCTCATTTACCCTGATGTTGGGGACTGGTGGGAAACTGCGCCGACAGGACTACTCACACTGCACCCACAAGGCGACCTCACATCTGGGGCCAGCAGTGATGGAGGCCCTCAGAGGCACACTGCCAGCTTGCTCATAATGCTATTAACTTGACACTAATTTGACACAGTTCATATATAACAGGGTCTGCAGACCCTCAGGGGACATTAGACAAGAGCTTATGAGGGAAGTTTGCCTATAGTTGTTCAGCAGTGACTAATATGTGACTCAAAACAACAATATCATAATTGTGATTTGTTTCAACACTTGTAATTGAACATGTAGTATACAGGTTCTGAGAAACCCTCTCTCATCAAACACAACGTTTGAAATCCTACTTTTAGAAATGTTTGTTGTAATTGTCAAAATATAAGTATATAAACTCCTTGAAATAACATTCACATGCTTTAGGCCACCCTGGAGTATAGGCTAACCTATATTTTTGTAAAGTAGCCTAATGTAGTATCATTTTTGTTTTCAGCAAATGTATAGGTCAGTTCTCCTCATGAAGGGCTTCATTTATAAGGTTTAACATGTCTTTAATTAGTTCTATTTATCTTTCTTTCTTTCTTAGTGTGATTTACTTTTTGCGAGGAAACCTCCATTTCAAAATAACTCAGATGACAACATTGCTCAAATACACCCCCGTCCATGTTTTCCAAGTGAAGTGATACTTACAAACTTAAAAAGTCATGCTGTGCACACGACACGAGACCCTAACTGCAACAAGACAGCACGCGATCTTCGACTCCCGTCGGCCATAACGTGGGCCCATCGCCTGCCTTCACACCTGGTGCACGAGCCAGCGGCAGCCTTTGATCAGCGTCTCCTCACATTATTGCAGTTTCTTCACACATTATTCCCGTGGGAAACTCGCGCGTGTTCAAGAGAAAATGTGAACTGTGAACGTTAAGCAGCGCGTGATTGTAAAAGCAACAGGTGGGTAATGAAATGTTTCCCCTCAAGCCAGTTTAACTTTAATTACCTCTTTACCTACTCCTTCCTTCCTCTTTCAGTTAATGTCCCTCATTTAAACAGTATTTAGACTAAATGCAGGGAACCTATGACCAAATTATCAAATGCTCTCCCGAAAACAAGATGTAGGCTAGATGTGTCAAAACACTCCTTTCTGCAATATATTTGGGAGTAAAATGAAAGCCTTCAGTTTATATTGTTTTATTGAGTGAAGCATTTGCTCCTAATTGCAGTAACCCCCCTTTGAAGATGCTCACTTTGGTGTGTATCAATTCCCCTTATTTGACCTCTAAACAAAATATTCGGCCCTTGAATTCATGATTCATTCTCAGATGCACGCTATGATAACATGTTAATTACCTGTTGCTTATCTTGGGAAACATGCCCCACAGCCCCACACAGATAAATGCTCTCTGAGTTATTGACATGTCCTCCATTGTTGTGCTGGGAATCCCACTGGTCAGAGTGTGGGAACCCCAGCCCTGCCTCAGCCACATGGCTTTGTTATGCTAATCCCTCAGTATAAAATGAGGAGCAGCCCCTCCTGGGACATCACAGCTCACACTGCGCTCCAGAAGAAGAAGCTACCTTCACCTGCACAGACATGGCTCCCTGCTCCACCAACTACTCCTCTATTCATCAGATCAGGATCTCTGAGAAAGACAACATTAAAGTAAGAACTGGATTGGATTGAAATGCTTTTTTTAAACTCATGTACATTCAACATTTTGATTGTTTATTATTGGAAACATGAACTTACCTTGCTCTCTTCTTTTCCTCAGTTAAGAAAACCTGTTGTGGAGAAAATGCGCAGAGATCGCATCAACACTTGCATCGAGCAGCTCAAGGCCATCCTGGAGAAGGAGTTCCAGCAGCATGAGCCCAACTCCAAGCTGGAGAAAGCAGACATCCTGGAGATGACTGTGAGTTTCTTGAGGCAGCAGCTTCAGCCGGGCCTCTGTCAGAGCGACTACAGCCAAGGCTTCTCTAACTGCTGGAGGGACTCTGTGCACTTCTTGTCTGCAACTTCCAACACAGAGGCCCCTGTCGCTCCTCTGCAGGGCCTCCAGCAGCACCACAGAGCCAGCAGCTCCTCCTCAGTCTGCTCCACCCTCAGGCCCACCATGCTGCAGGACAGCAGCAGCAAGGGCCCAGTGTGGAGGCCTTGGTAGAGATTTTGAAACATAGACACAGTTCGACACCTGAGGGGCTGTCCCTCACTATGTAGCAATTATATTTCCAGCCTGCTCATCTATGGTGGGTTTCCTTATTGTCGCATCACATTGATGGACAAGTAGTAAAAACATGTGAAGGCTCTCACTTATTTGAAGGGTTTCCCTGCTTTAATTTACATTTGATGTTTGGTTTTCCTTATGTTTAAAGCTGGAGGTTGATGATGGTTCTGTCAAATCTTGACTGTTTACTCCAGTGGAGTTTATCTTTGGACTGCTTGATGTAACAGTATCTGCCATACTGTGTTAAACTGACAGCTGCTGTTGAGAATATTTCTCTTACGTGTTGAATTAACCAGGCCAAATTGTATGTATGACGATTATAATAATGGTGTGTGTGTTTGTTTGTGTGTGTGTGTGTGTGTGTGCAAATGGGTGTGAATATTAACATTTTTGTTGATATTGCTGGTTTGCTATCACATTTAGGCTCTTATAACGTATGTTCAACATTTGTATGACAATTGATAATAAAAAGATACAATCATTTAAAAAACACTGACTCAATATTTTTTATCCCATGAATTCCAAGTGTTCCAAGTGCATCATGAACACTGGCTCAAGGTCTTGTTTTCAATTAGTAAAAGGTAACATGACGTTTTTCCAGAGAGCAATAGGATGCAGGAGGATTTTTACACTTTCATAAATTAAAACTCATGCTTCAACTTAAAATACTAAAGCAGACATTTCCCTCCTGTGATTTGAAATATTAGGAAGCATGACAACATTGATTTAAATTGTATTTATCTAGAGCTTATTCCACCAAATATATATAAAAAAAAGGGTTTCACTCACATCTAGACACAAGTAGACTAAATTCGGCCCATGCTTTCAACTAAAAACTAAAATAAATAGTAGTTGGGATTGAAAGATTCACACATACTGTTGGGAAAATAGTGAATGTGCTCTTTCAAGGACAGATGTGCACATGATAACGAAGGCCTAAGTGTATAACAGTGTATATGACAGGATGTATTATTACCTAGAAGAGAAGCATGACACGCTGCTTTTGGCATATGATAAGCTATGTGACAACAATTAGCATGATGATTTAGCCTCTATGGAGATATATGACAAGCATGATCATTTCTTACGTAGGCCTTAGCTAATCTGAACAAAGCATTGTATTCTGCCTTCAACCCGTATTTCTCCATCTTGTGACTGTAACACCCTCTTTGTATATAAGCATGTGAAGGACACTATAGTTGTACCATATGACCTGTATGTGATGACTACAATTATTGCACACACACACACACACACACACACACACACACACACACACACACACACACACACACACACACACACACACACACACACACAGAATACATAATACATCATTGTTCTTGTCCACAAATCAATGTGAAAGAATGAATTCCAATGAATAAGTAGATCACAAAATGTTTATTGAAATCCAAAGTGCATTAAGTTCCACGCTTTCAAACAAAACAATATGTTTCACAATAAAATCAATTTTTCAACACTTGGCATTTACTTACAGTGCAGTGCATTACAAAAGAATACACAGCACACATGAGCTGCATTTAGGCAGATACCTTCTTCCTTTATTAAAGGCAAATAGGTCACAACAGTAAAGTACTGTGTTTTCAAAGACAATGTGACATACCTCTAAAACTTTAGAACAAGTTCAACTTTATACATAAAATATATATATTTTCAGTTACATCAAGTAACAAAACACCAGAGACAACCTCACTGCGATGCAGGTTGATTCTGAAAGATGTTGCATACATTGAATGATCTCCAGTGTGAATTTGGGATTAAAGGATAGAGTCCTTCTTACTTATCTTATCATCAATATGATGAAACACTAAAAACACCATGAAGGAGCAGGCTGGAAATATATTTCCTACATAGTGAGGGAGAGCCCCTCAGGTCTCAGAATGGCTGTGTTTCAGACCAAGGCCTCCACACTGGGCCCTTGCTGCTGCTGTCCTGCAGCATGGTGGGCCTGAGGGTGGAGCAGACTGAGGAGGAGCTGCTGGCTCTGTGGTGCTGCTGCTGCTGCTGGAAGCCCTGCAGAGGAGCGAAGGAGAAGCCTTGGCTGTAGTCGCTCTGACAGAGGCCCGGCTGAAGCTGCTGTCTCAGGAGGTTCACAGTCATCTCCAGGATGTCTGCTTTCTCCAGCTTGGAGTTGGGCTCATGCTGCTGGAACTCCTTCTCCAGGATGGCCTTGAGCTGCTCGATGCAAACGTTGATGCGATCTCTGCGCATTTTCTCCACAACAGGTTTTCTTAACTGGGGGAAGAGAAGAGAGCAAGGTAAGTTCATGTTTCCAATAATAAACAATCATATGTTCTAATGTACGTTCTGATAAAAAAAATAAAAAATACATTCATTCATTCCAATCCAGTTCTTACTTTAATGTTGTCTTTCTCAGAGATCCTGATCTGATGAATAGAGGAGTAGTTGGTGGAGCAGGGAGCCATGTCTGTGCAGGTGAAGGTTGCTGCTTCTTCTGGAGTGCAGTGTGATCTGAGCTCTCTTCAGGAGCCACTCTTCATTTTATCGGGACCTATTAGCATAACAAGGCCATGTGACTCCGGCAGGGCTGGGGTTTGTAACAATGGGACACACATCAATAACTCCGAGGTGAAGCAATCACAGGCTGACCAGTAGAGATAAAACCATTCCCAGGACATATATCAGACTGGGAATGATGTGCTGTCAGTTTCTGTTGCTTATCTCACACTCCAGTTACACACGGGAACACGGCAGTATCTCCTGATGTGCTCCCAGGGAATAATTAAACAGGATTTAATGCATTGGATCAACAGGGGAATAAGGTATTGAAAGTAAGCATGTTATTGATTTAAATTATAGTATGCAACTGAGATATTTCTTCAACCTATATTAGAGATTATGCTCCATTCAACAAAGACCATTTTACGTTAACTCAAAATAATATAAGGACTTTAATGACAAATGCAATTTTAATAAAATAAACAACAAATTCCGCACTGCTTCACCTGCATATTCTATTGAGACTAGATTTTCTGAAATTGGAGCATGGAAGTATATTCTGGTACAAAGCAGCAGGTACATGGATTAACATGTGTTTATTCATTGTTATCTTTAGTTTTTATTGTGAGACATCTTGGATATTCATAGTTTTCCGAGCAAAAAACATTGTTTCTGTCCGACTAACTGACAAATAATTGCCGGACAGATGATTCAGTCTTCTCATCTCCAGATAATAAATTCCTCAAATATTTTGTGATGTTGAACACTTATTTTTCTAAAATGCAATGTATCCGAGAGCTTGTTAAATCAAACTCCCAAAATCTTCCCGCCAGCACATTGCTCTGGTCCTTGTGTGTTGACAGTAAAACTCCTGCTTGTTCACCCATGGCACACTTCTATTGTTGGCCGAGGGGATTAGCCATGAGTGGACAGAGAGACTGTGGGAAAACTGAGCTCGGACTCTACTCACACATCTACCGGTCAATGGGCTGACCTCCCAGCCACAAAAGGCCTTTTCATCTCTTCTCTCAAACAACAGCCAACAGCAGCACTGTGTGTGTGTGTGCGCACACGTGTGTGTGTGTGTGTGTGTGTGTGTGTGTGTGTGTGTGTGTGTGTGTGTGTGTGTGTGTGTGTGTGTGTGTGTGTGTGTGTGTGTGTGTGATGCACATACACACAAGCAAGACAGGCCTTTTGTGCATTTCATTGATGTGCACTGTTACGTCATGCTGCCAAACTGAAACTTTTTTTATGTGAGCAGCTGCCACTTGTTGTCAGATCCCAGGAAATGCAATGATATCACTTGCACTTGTTTTGTCGACCAGAGCCAACATTTACAACTTTAAGAGATTCAAAGGTCACTATATCTAATATAAATATCTAAAGAAAACGGATAATTGTATTTTCTCCAACACATAAACTTGATTTTCAGTTCTAAATATAGGAAACTTTTTGAGAATTATAAAATGGTCTCACACTATGTTTAACCTTTTAAAAAAATGACATTTCAACCTTAAGTGTTATTATGTTAGTCCTACAGTACAGCCGCTGGGGGGCGCTAAAGACCCCCTCCAACAGCACACTGAATGTACTTAATCCTGGGTTTAAATTGGCTTGTCTGGTATACCACACAGTTTGAGTCACAATATTTCAGATAAACAACGAATTATGGGAACTTTAATGATTAATTAAATACTATATTTATTTGTGATTGATGTCCATTTTCCCTGTATGCCTTACTTCACATAGGGTGATGTTTTGAACAAATAATCTTGTGCTCCAGCAGCCAATCATAAATGGTGTGTTGCTACAAATTTCCTTTACATAAAACAATCCTTTTGATTGGTCTGAGATAGCTAGGATGAGTGAAGCAAAAATATTTAAATGAAATATGTGGCATGTTGATTTTCTCTACTAATAGTAGGCTACAAACAAACAAATGTTAACACCAAAAATAGTTGTTACGTGTTGCATTTCATTAATTGTTGGACCCGTAATCAAATAATTGTCATTATACACTTTATTTTGTAAAGGGTTAAAGGGTTTGGAGCAGCTGAATATTAATATGATATGGAAAAAGGGGAGGGTGTGAATCAGTGGGATAGTGCTCTTATCTTCTGATCAGGGTGGAAAGCTTTGAGTTTGAGCATGTCGTTGTTTCCCTGGGCAAGACACATCACCCCAAATTGCTCCTGTGGGGATTGCCCACAGTAGGCTGCTGAATGTATTCAATTCGATTGGGATAAAAGCGTCTAACAAGTGACATGTAATGAAAAAGTCTATCCCATTTTGACCATGTCATCGGAGGTAGGCAGGGGTTATCGATGTATTTTAGAGTTGACCATATTTATAGCACATAGCCTTAACAAGTTTATTTAAAAAAACATTAAAATGTAGTCTTCAGAATTTAAGGTGGTTTGCTTTGTAATCTAACAACCCCCCCAACATTCTGGTAACAGTTGTCATCCTTTACGAATAGCACCATAATAATTAGGGTTTTACAAATGTGATCAGACAGCTAAATAAATCCCTTATTTTGTTATTTTCTTTTCCCCAATACAGAACAATGTAGTAAAACATTTCTGCACATACAATTAATGTTTTACATTTAGTTGTGAAATACATTTAAAACTGACACTTAAGCTGTCATGTCCCACTTTTACTACCCAATATCCCTGCATCATACAACTCAACTACTTTTCATCAACTGAAATATGTACCTGCTTAATTATTTGTTCATGGTATACATTTGAATACAGTTCTGGAAATGTGCGTTTGTGTTCATTTGGGGCTTCAGGGCAATAATATAGATTTTGGGAAAGAAGTAGCCCATGAGGAAGGCCAGGACGCTGAAGAGTATGGCGAACACATGGGCGGCAGTGGTGAACGGGCCTCTGCTGATGAGGTAGAGGGTGAAGAAGCTCATCCAGGACATCATGTACACCATGAGGCTGAAGGTCACACTCTTGGCCTCGTTGTAGTTGGCTGGCAGGTCTTTGCCCATATAGCTGAAAGAGAAGCAGAGGGCGCTGAGCAGGGACACATAAGCGAGCTCATTGAGCGCACCAGGGGAGAGGGTGTTACTGCATTCCAACACAATGCTGTGCTCGTAGAAGTTCAGATCCTTTGAGGGCTTGGGGGGGTTAAGGGCCACACGGAGTACAGAAATTAGCAAGATGGTGACGGACACCAGAAAAATTGTGTACTCTGGCCCGTTGTTTTTGGCCCATTTGTCATAGGCCGGCGGCAGCTTGGATGCAAATTTGAAAATGCACACAACCTGAATAGAGCGCACGGTGATTCAGGCCAGGCACACAGTGAAGCTGAAGATGAATAGAGGCTGCTTGAGGATGCAGGCCAGAGGAGACGGCTGGCCAAAATGGCACAAAGTGCTCATGGCACTGGCAGTCAGGGCTGCCAGCATCAGGAGGCAGGTGCGCCCTCCAGCAGACTTGGCAACAGGCGTGTTCAGGTTGAGCAGGAGGATTATTGCAGAACTGGAGGTCATGAGAAGACAGGTGGCCAGGAAAAACAGCAGGGCGATGGAGAGGGGGTGGTCCCAGGGCAGCAGCAGGACAGTCCTTTTCAGACACTGCTCGCTCTTTGGGGGTGCCCACTCCTCTGGGAGACATGGTTGGCATGTAGTGGGCTCTGAAGAAAAGAGACAGCAGAGATGTAAAAACAGAGTGTTTGTGAAAGAGAAGTATGAGCACTCAGCACCATCTGCTGGCCAACCATACACACAACACTTTACAAATACTGTTGTTGGAGAGGTAATTTGGTTCAACTATAACAATGTTTGTTTTTATGTTTTATTTAGACAATAATTAGATCAGGGATGGGCAAATGGCGGCCCGGGGCCCGCATGCTGCCCCCACCTCCTCTTTTTGCGGCCCTCAGATTAATTTATAAACAATGGGCCATTCTACCGAATTGATGCAAAGTCAGGTTGGAACAGTTTTGAAATGTTGTATGTTTTTTTCCCAAAACTTTGTCCATATATATTTTATTCCATATCTAAATTACACATATCTAGTAAAAGAACCGTACATTTTTATATCGTATTTTCAGACTGTATTGGAATGTTCTTCCTCTACCAAAAATGGTCACTACCGAAACATAGTACATACACTGTAGTCAAAAAGTATTATATTAACCTGTTAAGATTGTTTTACCTTTCCTTATCTAAATAGTATTTTAACAAATAATTCTTGAGGGTTTTCACAATTAAATCAATGCAATTACATTTTTAATCAAATTTCAAAGTTCAATTTATACAATTCATAAAAATCTCAATGCAATTTTTCTTTGTAAAATGCATAATACTGATCATATTGATTCCAGAGTTGATGATTGTTGAAATTGAACATACATATTAAACCAATCAGTATCATATCATTTTATTTGATAAGTCCATATACTTAATGTTTTACAAAACATCCAGTGTTTCGGTAGTGACCACAGTATTTTGTTCTCAAGGTTGTATCATATTCCCTCAACCTTATTGCTTAATCTTTACTCATAACATGCCTTATGTTGAAGTGTGAATGTTTGAAGCTACTGACCCAGAATCAGCACAGGCTGAAATAGAGGGGGATGAGGCTAGAATTCATGATCTGTTTGGTATTTTGAGCAAAACACTTCATAGACATGTTTTTTATATATCTGAGACCTATAATATATGCCTACAAATAGTAGGAGACCTTTAAAGTAACACACTGATTTTCAGACTTTAAAACACATTTATTTCAAAACTATGGGATTTACCTGCTTACCATTCCATTTTGTCACTACCGAAACAATCATGTCAACTAGTAGTGACTGTTTCGGTAGTGACGATTCTGGCTAAAATTGAGCATAAATAAAGAATGCTAGCAAGTACATGGCTAGCATACACGTCTTTGAAGAGGTGTACACACATAAAAACCTAATACTTTGCATAAAACTCAGAAAAAGTTTACTTAATTGAAGATAATATGTGTTTGGTAGTGACAATTCTTAA